TGCATGCTGGCTTCTGGAAACGCCCAGTCAGAAAAAAAAAAGAGAAAAAACACAACAACAAAAAAACAGAGAAGAGAAAGAGAGCCGGCCAGTCTTAGCAACCCAACCCCTAGTTAGATAGTAATAAGCTGGTACAAGAAGTATGCTCAGAGCCTAATTATTTCCCGAAGTTTCTGAGAGAGAGAAGGCACTTTGCCCTTTCTCAAGTCCTTTTTCTTGAAACGATTGTTGAAGAGGGCTGTAAGTTTTATTTACAGGCTCAAGGTTCGGGATTGGCCCGGGCGCCACAAACAACTTTTCCCAAACTTGTTTGGGACCTCCCAGATTATGCAGACCCCTCTACTTGTTGGGGGAGGGGGGGGGGGTTATAATCAGAACCCCCAATTAAAGACACATTGAAGTAGTCTTGGGCTCTGCTCTCAAGGACTATCGCTGAAATCAATGCCCCCAGGCTGCGGAAAGGTCCCTGGCCCTGCTTTTGCGGCACCGACGATGCCGGCAAGTTCTCGTGCTGAGCGATTTCTGCCGCAAGTGAGGGGTAGTTCAAAGCCCCCTAGCTTGCAGATCAATAGCAGCTCTCTTTGTGTGTGATGAAGCTACGTACAGTAAACACCTGACTCAGCCATTACCACTTACCACTTGTCTACCACTTACTTCTCCCAGTTGCCAGGCTCAGAGCCCTGCTTCAACCACCAACACCCGCTCGGAGCTCGCTGCTCGTTCTGGTGGCAAAAGTAATGAGATCCACGATGGTGGCCATGGTGGCCCCCAGAATCCGAGGGAGCTGCGCGCTTCCGCCACCAATTCGCAGTATTGTCGCGGCCAATGTTCTAACTGTTGTAAGTCCGAGAATCGCGACCACAGCGCTCCTGGGTCTTCTGCTCTCCACTCATCTTCCAAGAACTCCATGTGACATCTTCAACCTTCTTGCCCCATTTGCGTTCGTCGTCCCTCTCCTCTTTTTTTATCTTCTGCCAGGAGCCCCAGGTTCCGTCCAAGGGGACGCAGAAGACGCCGGACTGGCCTTCGGGAAGACCCACGTTGCCTCCTTACCGGCGAGCTTCAAGATCAATCCTGGGCCATGCTTGCATGGCATAGCCTCAGAAACGCTGAAACAATCGTCTTGCTTCAGCTTGCCGAAGCACCACTTCTCACGCGGCCTTGACATGTGAATGTATCACGTTTATCAATCCCCTTCCTTACAGAGCACAAACACAACCCATAAGGACCAAGTAACGCCAAGGCCCATGGTGGAAATCTATCCCACCCTCTCGCACGCATCGCATGCATCGCCACACATCAGCCGCCTTGTCTTCGGGCGCGGAAAATGACTGCGGCGTTTGGTCAAACGAACTTTGTGCTTCCTGCTGGCACGCTCTTGTTTGCAGCTGCTCATGCTCTGTGATCCTCAGGGCAGCAGTCTCCAAGGATCGGGCGTAAACCTCCGCAAGCAAGATCTGAACTGCGGCAGATGCATCCTGCAACGCGACAAAAACCCGAGCTTCCTTTTTGGGAGATCTCGAAGTAGCATGCTTCCTTGTAGCGCACTATTGTATTTTCAGACCATATTCACACAAAGTCAAACTCATACCATAACACAATGCGAGGTTGCCGGGGCCTGTAGCAGTATGACCTGTTTCAGGCCTGGCCTGTGTCTTGGGGGTCTTGACTGGGCCCAGGTCCTCTGTGACCACCTCAATGTCTGCCTGGCCAAAACATTTTAGAATTCACGATAACATACAACCGATCACAGCCTCCGTTAGGCAATCTTTACACATATACCTACCTACCTACCTACCTACCTACGTACGTACATACATACGGCAGTTTCCTAAGCCATCCCGATGTTTCCTGCAGCTTGCTCCAGCAATTTTTAACTGCGGGCATGCCATAACCTCTGTCTTAATACTCCGGCAGCACACCAGCCACTTTGTCTTCCGGCGTGGAGCGTGACTGCTTGGTTTGATCAAGTAAGTCTTGTTCTTCCTGTTGGCGCTTGCTCCACTGCAGCCGCTCAATCTCTTCCTTGAGGCTTTTGATGGTGAGGTCACGCTGGAGGATGCTCTCGCGGAGGTCGTCAATCACACGCTGCATTTTTTCTTGCACAGCAATGGCATTGAGGCACATATCTCTCATCCCGTCGAAAAGCTTAGAATGTGTTCCCCGTCCATTCTGTCAGGGGGGGCTACGGGCTACTGCTACCACAACCTACTGGGACCTACCGCCTCCAGACAACTTGAGATAAGCAACCAGCGCATCGAGCGAAACTTTTGATCAAACGCGCCACCTTCTCGAAAAAGAACAGCATGGGTGCGCTCACTGCTGACGTTGCGATGAACAAGCAGTGGCTTGAACACAGGATTTAGGCTCAACACCAAAACACATCCTCCTAAAGAATGAAGCAGCCAATGAGCTGCGGTTGCTCGTGGTCGCATAACGCCATGCTAAGCCTTGCTGCGTTCAAGTCCGCAAACATTTCCTTGAGATGGGAAAACTTTCCTCAGGGTTTCCTTCACAACCCGAACAATTGTCTCTTGTGTGGGCGGCATCTTCCGCCCTTCAGGTCAGCACTAGGGCCCTAGCAGCCTAAAATCTGTCCTCAACTCAGGCTGGGCAGTGTCGCACAAAGGTTTCTGGCTCTTTGACTTCTGCGCAGGTGTGCCGAAAGGCTAATAGATGCTGAAAGTAGGCGACTTCTTCAATTGGTTTTTGGGTCAGAAACTGTGAGGACATCGCATTGAGTGTGGTACAACGGCAATGGGAGAAAAACGTAACAAGTGATTGAGAGGGAGGAGAGGAGCGGAGGAGGGAGAGGAAAAGCAAGAAGGTGTCAGGCTCTGAGCATGTGCAATGCATCTTCCCATGCTTTGACAGCAAGGCATGAGTCCTGGCCTTTTGCCTTTAGCAGGGCAAGTTTTTTGTTCTTCTCCTCCTCTTTCTCGTTATGCTGTTCTGTGAGTCCATCCACAAACCTGCCACATCACTGCCAGCCAGGCAAAGGAAAACAATGCGAAAGTGTGCAACTCCATGTCTCTGAAGCTTCCTTCAAGAAACGGCCGATGGGGCTGCACGAAGGAAGATCTGAAGCTTGGTTTAACGTAGCATTCTTTGAACAGAGGAGGGGTGCTGAATTGTTGGGGTTCGCTACTGAGTTGGCTACAGTATGTCTTGGAGTTGGTTCATTCTGGAAAACAAGAAGGTGGCAGATGCGCGCAAGGGTGCAACACTATAAGCCACCTAAGAATCAGGAGATGAGCAGCCTTCGAAAGTCGGCTTCAATCTTCTCTTTCTGTTCGCCACTAGCGGCGCTTACATCTCTGTCCTCGCAGGAGCACTTGCGGCTGCAACGAAGCTGTGTTACGCTGTCCGGAACCTCTGCAGTGCACATGCACATGCTACCTACGCCTGATGTGACATATACCGTAATCATCCGGCCTTCTGCTGCCCGGCCTGCACAGAATGTCTAGCAGCAGCCCATGGATCCCAAGCCGTTGGAAGCAATCGCTAGGGTGCCTTCGTCAGGGTACCCAGCAAGTTGGCTTTGAACAAGCCTTGGCTCGCTGGGGACAATTGGTGCCTGCTCTTTTTTCGAAATGGAAGAAAAGCTGAAATTTAGATTGTGCAATTAACACAACAAGATATTAAGCGGGAAAGCAGCTGAAGGTCTGCAATGTGTCGCTCCTGGCATTATGAGCGAATCGCTATACGCAACTGGGCCAACGGTAGCGCCTTTGGTCATATCCGGGCGGGGTTCCAAAACAGGTCATCAGCCCTGACTACGTGGACAGCCTTATGTGCTGGCAAGCCGCTGTAATCTGCTTCTACCTGGAACCAGCGCAACACTGAAAAGTCTAGGTGGCCGCAAGCCGGTAGACTTGGTCAAGATGCGCTCTTCCGTTCTTCGGCGAGCTTCTCGACAATTTTGTCAAGGTCGAGTATGCTTTTCCTGGACTCACTTCCTAACATTGTGCTTGGCATGCCATGGAAGCAGATTCTTGATTCTACGGTCCGCTGCGCGCTACGGTCCGCTGCGCAAGCAAATGCAGAATTCAGCAAGTCAACACCCTCTCAACGATATCATTGAATAGCACCAAACCCCTCCCCTCTCTGCTACCAAGCCTCCTCTGGAAGTCCTTGATAAGCAACTTCTCATCAGCAGAGCAATGTCTTTGATCGTCCACTGTGCAAACCTCAAGCTTTGCAGCTTTGTCTACTTTGGCTCCCCACTCCGATCTCTCTGCTTGACTCCCCCGAGGCGCCAAACTGGGGTCAGCTGAGAGGTGACAAAGTTCTCCAAGTCTCGCAGCTCCTCCAATATATCCCAATGTTACCCAATGTTACCCAATATTACCCATATTACCCAATATATCCCAAAACATCCCAAAACATCCCAATACATCCCAATATATCCCAAAATATCCCAAAATATCCCAAAATGTCCCAATATTACCCAATATTCAGAGTCCCAGAACATGCAAAGGCACAATGTTGAAAGTGGGGGCTTCGCCTTCTTCCCTGTGTAGTCGTCCTTAGCAGGCCAAGCAGCATGGCCAGCACTTTGCTGAAGAATGATATATTGGGATATTTTGGAGTATATTGGGATATATTGGGATATTTTGGGATATATTGGGATATATTGGGTAATATGGGTAAT